GGAGTTTCTAACCCCAGGCCATAAGGTTTCTGAACCTGGACTGATTTTTTTCTCCTGGCTCCCAACACACCCATGCCAGGTATTCTGAGTTCTTGATTGGTTGGAAGCTGGGAAGGAGAAAAAATGTGGACTGTCTGGGGTCCCTGAAGACTGGGTTGGGAAACACTGAGGTAGCCAGTGATTATGTACACTATGAAGTAATGGTTAACTAAATTTTATGTTATCACTGAACTCAACAACTAGTACATATTCATAAAAAAGTTAGCTGTTTGTGGTTAATACAATAAGCAAGAATTGTGCTTCAAGCTCTGATTTGGATTTCTTCTCTGCTAGTAAGGTGCTCTGTGGACTCTGTCTTTGTTTACTTTCTGTCTTGGACTCAGTTGAAACTGTTGTAGTGTCTGCTAGTTTCTGTTAATCAGTAGTTTCAGGTAGCCAATCAAGTGTAGTTTCGGTCTCGCGTGTCTGTGGCGGTCAGCGACAAACGCAGTTAATCTGTTACTACTCGTTCTATCCTTCCTTTTCTATTCTATTCTCAATTTTGTGAACTCACACCATCACTGCAGACATGTGCCTCAGACCTATCCCAGTCCACTTATTTCTGAGATCTAGAAGATCCCATCCAACATCCAGGCACCGCGCACCCAGTAATCTTATCTACCCTCCCCTGTCATCCTAGTCCCAACGTCGGGTGTTGGGCGGTCTCTGGAATTGCCAGTCTGCTATAAAGACTATATTTTCTAAGTTGTATTCAGGGCTTCCTAAAAATAAAGAAGTTACCCCCATCCTCTGCTACTCTCATTATTTAGGGATGAAGTGGAGAAAGTGATTGTACTACAGCTTGATGTTTTAGTTAATGAATTAACCAGCTTCTTTGGTGTTTAAATTCCAAAACTGACCCACACAAACGCCCCAGTAGGCCATTTTGAGTTTAACAATAATTCTATAATAATAATTATTAATAATATTAATAATAATACATTTTATTTATATAGTGCCTTTCTCACACTCAAGGACGCTTTACAATGCAAACAATAATACAATAAAGAAATGCACATACAGCAACAACAGTAAACCAACAAGAATGGTAGATACATTATATCATTCCTGAAATAAATGAGTTTTCAATTGATGCTTGAAAATGTTAACTGACTGTCTCGCAGACTGTGAGGAGTTGTATTCCAGATTGTAGCTACTGTCACACACAAGGTCCTGCCACCCATAGAGAATAATCTGAATTTAGGAACAGACAGGTTAGAGCCCATCCATCCATCCATCATCTGCCGCTTGTCCGGGGTTCAGGTCGTGGGGGCAGCAGCTTCAGGAGAGGCACCCAGACC